TACGAATGCTTTGGTTTTCACAATACACTTTAAATTGTCAAAATAATACAGCTATTCACTATGTTTTTATAAGTCAGAACATTTAATATTCAAAACAGAATCATACACAAATCAGGTAAAACGTTGAAATACATTTTTTATAGTCACCAAAACAAAATGCATTTTTCAATGTAACTTATTTAGGCTCCATGGCAAGAAATAGTTTATTAATCAATATGAAGCAACTGTTTCATGAAGAAACTGCCTGTAGCTTCATTTAAATGGTTTTAACTAACAGCTGTAGGAATGTTATTATTATTTATTGCCTTCTCTGCAAAAATGTAAACATGGGGAATTACAGATCCACTGGGGCGGAGCCCGAAAGGATTTTTGAGATGAGAATATGCCTAAATGTTAATAGGGAATGTGAGCTATCATCATGCCAAATTTTAGCCCAATCCGTCCAGTAGTTTATGCGTGATTGAGCAACACACAAACATACACACAAACTCACAAACTTTCAGATTTATAATATTAGTAAGATAAGGCGTTTAGGAAAACACGACACATCAGACCCGGTGTCGATAAGGAACCTAGTTCGTGAATTTCTATCCATCACAAAGAGATTTTGGTCATGGTTGTTTCTGTACATCAAATAAATTACGACCAAATAAGTAAGAGAAAAGTATCTATATATTAATACGCAAGCAGTTTTCTTTTCACTGTCATAACTCAATAACGGCTATTGATGGATTTTAAAGTTTGAGGTGTCAAATTAAAGGTATTTTCACGTAGATGTGCAAATACGTCTCAGAATATTTAGAAAGGGTACCACTTAAGTACACTTAAGGGCTAAAGTTTGGAAGGCGGCGCTATCTGTTGACATTCGATCAAACTCATTTCCCTGTGTTTACAAATAACATATGAATGTAGTTTGAAATAGTTTTTAAGGTTAACCACAGACTGCAGGACTTAAAACTTCCCCAGAGCAAAGCTGGAATTTATATTTTGTTTCGATCTGTTAACTAAGTCTGGTTAATAATTAAGAGTTTCATATCAATAATAGACAACAAAGTGTTTAAGAATAAATATTTAATTCTTTTTGTCTATGGTTAAATTGATTTACCTTACAACGTATTTTACTGATTATCACAGTTCGATGTGATGAAGTGAATGTTTAAAAGTGATTATTCGCAGGGCAGTTATCAGTTACATTACCATATTATCATGTAATTTACAATGTGTATCAAAATTCCAATTCCTTTATAGTGTTTTCTGTTGTTTGGTTAACTTTCTTATTTCATTTCAATTTAAAATCAAATGCCACCAGTACGACGAAGAACTGTGAGTGGCTGGAGGGAACGCGAACATGACCGCTTGCATCAACCTCTCAATTGAACATTTGATGGGTACATAGTGGTAGTACCACCGTTGTGATAGTCCAATCTCGGACAAATGAACGTTAACTGTTTACATTGTAGTGGCTTACATATTTTTAATCAAGAAAAGACTGCCCGAGACAGTTAAGTTTGTACACTTTGTTGCCATAAATGACAGGTCCGTTAACATCATTTGTGCAATTCACTACAATAAACTTCGGGTTCTTATTGGAAACTCCCAATCTGAAAATAGGACTGTGAGACTTATATCCAGAAATTATTTGGATAAAGTTCGTTAATTCAGTTCTGCCTTTACCATGGTCAGTTCCAAAGCTCATTAAGATGAGAAAGTTCCACAGGGGATCTACAATTGTAAGATCCGTGACACGTTTTACCACCGAGTGGGTCCTCCAATTCCTTAAGAAGGTGTTCCGAGGAATCAAGTGAGATTCTTACGTACATAATAAGAGACAGAAGAAGTGTCTTCTCTAGCTACAATGGTGCTGCTACCTGTGTAGATTTCGCAGCAATTTTTAAAGCTGAAAACAAAGCACCACCTGGCCAAGTAAATCGTATAGTTTTTTCAACATTAATTATGTTAAACGCGTATCCATTATAGATCTGTCGTTAGATCCACTTGCTTACCCTCTTATGTTCCCAACCGGAGACTTGGGTTGGGGCCCCTAATTTAAATACGCCCAAAACAGAACACATCAATAATAAGTAAGTACGACAATGTCACTAGAACCCAAAGGAGAACCAAGCACAATTATAAAAAAATGCAATGAAAAAAATATGCGGGAAATAGGGTCACAATGCCAACCCATTTGCAAATCTTTGAAGACTGTGGCAGACATTATGTAGGGACGAGAGCTCCGAGAAGTCAAGTGAGATTCTTATTTAAATACGCCTAAAACATAACACACCAAAGAAATAATTTAACAATGCTAGAATAAGAGTAGCGATAGTTGGCGTCAAGAGAGGAATTGAGCTACATTATGTCAAAAGCTCACTTTACAGTGTGTGGTTGACATCTACGTCCTCATAGAGTACACCCGCCTACTATACAGAGATAACCAAAGCAATATGAGAGTGATGAATGTAAATTTAAATATTGTAGATTGCTTTTATATTTTTTTACATCATAATATTTTTATATTTCTATAATCAGTCATATAAACTATTTTAGAGTGACTCTTTGATTAAGGTCTTGCTGTTTATGTTTTTTGTTTATTTTTTTATACAAATTTCAGTTTTGCTCGATTTCGAGCAACAGGTTATCTAGTTTTAATAAAAGAGTTAAATTTTGTGTACAATCCTCTAAAAAAAACAAAAACCAGACTAACTATAATGCGTTGCTATGACAACGTAACATCAGCTGACACTACAAGCATGTAATGTGTATGGTACTGTACAGTAATACATTGAAATACATTCAACTTATTTGGCCATGTATCACACACAATTTGGTTGTGCATCATAGAATTCGTTAGGTTAAAAAAATATGTTCATAATTTTTTATTAACATAGTACATAGTAAAGGTGAGCAGTCCGGAGTGTGGGAAATGTTTATGACGATTAGACTAAGGTATCTACAATCCTAAAATGCTATGGGAAGGGAGGGAAACAGGTCCGCGACGTAGGAAGTGGTGAAGGAAGTAGTAAAGGTGAGCAGTCTGGAGTGTGGGAACTATTAATGGGGATTAGATTAAGGTATCTACAATCCTAAAATGCTATGAGAAGGGAGGAAAACAGGTCCATGACATATGAAATGGTGAGGGAAGTAGTAAGGTTAGCAGTGCAGAGTTTGGGAACTGTCTGTGGTATTTATGTATCTGCAATTCTAAAATGGTATTGGGAAGGAGGGCAAACAGGTCTACGACGTAGGGGTTGTGAAGGAAGTAGTAAAGGTGAGCAGTGTGGAGTTTGGTAGTGGATTAGGATTAATGTATCCCCAATACTTAACTACTTTCAGAGTAAACTAATGATTTTCCCCGAGCAAAGTTTGGTCCCCGGGTACTAAAACGATAAAACTATTGATTGGTTAAATTGAGCTGAAATAAACAAAACAGAATAAGTACGGTAATACCAAATACAAACAAATAATCACACCTTATTTTAATATAGTAATAAATTGAAAGAAAAACATACAAATAAGTAGGCAGGGAGTATTATCTATGGTAGGCCTACAGCTGAGGTATTTTTAACATTAGGTATATGGAAAGTACCCTTAGCAATTACTTATAGGGCAATTTATGAAATAATGGATAGTTTTGTGCAAGGTTTCTCGTCATGAGGAACATTTTAAGTACCATGGTTTATGGGGGTGTGAGTTGTAGTTTTCTCAAAAGTTCATGGGTACTTTGGGCTTTATTTATTTATTTTGAAAACTGAGTTTATTAATAAACTTTGCCTATTAGACACAGTAAAAAAAAAACAACTTAAATTTACGATATAAATAACATGTAACATAGATTAATAACGTTGTCCATATAAATGATTTTGAATGATTTTACATGATTCTTTTAGCACTTTTAAGACTATTTCATTTTTTAATTTTGATGGAAGATTATATTTTTTTTTAATTCGTCAAAAAATTTTGTAATAGTCCCTCTTGCACCAATCATTATGCCAATTACTGATATTGAATTTAGATTATATTTGTTTCTTAAATAAGTTTCACATTTTTACTATAAATTTTCCTCTTTTCTTCATCTACTTCTAGGGGTTGGTTTGTTGATGTTTCGAACCTTATTATTGGATCAATTACAATTCCACTTTTAGATTTTTTATCAAAAATTAAAATGTCCAATCTTCTGTTTGATCCACCATCTTCAGTGCAATGTATTTCTTCTACTACTTGCCAGCCTTTTTTTCGTAGTTCTTCTGCGATCATTGCTCTTACAGCATGGTGTCTTGCATTACGCAGTAAGGCACCAAAGGGACAAGAGCCAAGGGCATGCGGAAGGGTTTCAGGCTCCTTGCAATGTCTGCAAAGGGTTCCATCCTGGCTTCGCCCTGGTACGCTGCGTACTGGTACAACACCAGATATCATTTTTAATGAAGTGATCCATTCTCCTGTAGTAAGGCCATTTTTTAAATATATCCATGTGTTGCTACTAGGCACTTCTTTGAATAATTCTATTCCTCTACCTCTAATTACATAAAAAAAAAAAACTTAAGAATAAGTGTTAATAGTACCGGTACTTCAATTATGTTAACTCATTACATTGATTATGATTGATCATGTCAGGAAGATAAATGATTTTTCAAAAGAAGTCTCTTAAACCCTGATTTTTAGGTATATAAGAGCTTAAACATATGCCGCGACAATGCAGAAGCAATACGCTGCGTTGCGCTTTTGTCCACTCTCACCCTTCATTTCCTTGAACGCAACCACTGCTGGTGGCTCGGGCAGCGGAGCGGCGCTGCCGATCCAGTACACTGACTCAACTTCCAACCAGTTCCACTTGTGTATTGGCATAGATTAAACATAGTCCCTTAGTAGATTTCCCATCCTTATGGAACAGCTAAGGGACCATGTTTTATCTCTATGGTATTGGTATTGCGTATTGTCTGTCAGTTTTGTTTTGTTTTGTTATTGTTATTTATTTGTTGCCTTGTCGCCTTGTCAAACCTCAAGCCTCAAACCAAACCAAACAGTGTTAGTCTAGTTTAAGTTTTGCAAATTGTAATTAATTGATCCAAGTTACATTTGATAACAGTTACTATGTAAATTAAATAATTTATTTTAAAGCATTTTGAGTCAAAAAGGATAGCGACCATGTACACTAATTCAATTTTATATTAGGCCTAGGGTATTTTATTTTGAAAATATTTTCTAACCTGATAAAAATGAACCATATCTGACATATTTGCTGAAACCCTGGGCTATTTTATTTTGGACGAGTTTATTTTGTGGACAAGTACATTATTTTAAAACTTATTAGGGTTGTTTATCCTTAACTTATTAAGGCCTAACTTACTTTTTATTAAACAAGGTGGGGTTATTGTTTTTGAACCATCCAACCACCTTTTAAGGTTTTGACTATGTCCGAAACTTATTCATCATTGGTAAGTAGAAATCAGCTTTTAACCCTAGGAAGGTATTGTCATACAGTAAGTTATGACGCTAAGGGTATCAATACGTAAATTTGACGTACATAGGAATTGCATACAGTAAGGCATCGTCATACAGTGTAACGCTAAGTGTATCAATATGTAGGTAGCCTAAATTTGGTGTAGGCCTACTACCGGCCATTTTACTATACACAAAGGGTATTGAAACGTAAGTTTGACATATATGCGTTCCAAGAAACCGACTAGCAAGGAAATAAAGAAACACACTACGACCTAACCAAGGCAGCCATCACAAGGCAAATGACTGCTGAGTAGGGACGTTCCGATACTACTGATAAGTTACCAGTAGGTATCGATACTTTGGGTCCGATATGATTACCCTTGATCATAACAAAAAAAAAAAAAAATCCATAGTAAAAACTTGTAAAAATCTTGGCCAGAGAAAACATCAATTTGTTTAAATCAAAACTGAAAGATGAGAATTGGATGGAAATTTACATGTCTCCTATTGAATATAAGTACTCTAAGTTCCATCAGAAATTTGTTTATTATTTTAATGAGTGTTTTCCACAAATTACTGTTGGAACAGGCTCCAAAAAGAATTGCTGGATGAATAACTTACTAGGTTAAGAGAAGAGAGGGAAACTATTGTTAGGCTAAGTTAAGTGTGCAAGGAATCAAGACAAAGAGTGCAAAGAACTTAAAATTCAACAAAGAAAATTTAAATTTGATATTTTCAAGACAAAAAAAGAATATTATAACAAAAAAATTAAACATTCATCAAACATTTCAAAAACAAACATGGTCAATTATTAACAAAGGAAGTCTTTAACGGCAAAAAAAAGAACAGGAAAATATGTCATTGAAAGTTAACAATAAGATACCGTAGTTAACAATCCAAAAGAAATAACAAATAATTTTAACTCATTTTTTACAAAATCCTCAATGTTACATACAAAATTTTGTAATACTACATCAGACACCTCTTCAAAAAATATATGGCATACAAAATTGTATTTCGAACCAGTAACTGATACCGAAGTAATAACTATTATAGCCTACAATCTTTAAAAAATAAAACATCTGGCTATGACGATTTATCAGTAAAAATGTTAAAAGAGGTGAAAGATGAGATTAAATTCATTTTAATGCACCTAATTAACTCATCATTTGTAACAGGAATTTTTCCAAATGAGCTTAAAATTGCTAGAGTGGTACCTGTTTATAAGAAAAACTCTAAGAAAGATATTTCAAACTACAGGCCAGTGTCAATTCTCCCGGCAATATCAAAGGTATATGAGAAGGCAGTGTACAACAGGTTGAACAGTTTCTTGAACCAGTATGATCTAATTGATAATGATCAACATGGTTTCCGTGCTGGTAGATTGACTGTTACATTCACTAGATAAGGGTTTAAATTCAGCTGGCATCTTCATGGATATGTCCCAGGCATTTGATAATGTAGACCACCATCAATTAATAGCTAAACTTGATAATTTGGGTATTAAAGGAGTCACTCTCAAATGGTTTAAATCATACTTAGAGGAACGTTACCAATTTGTGGAAATATCAACTTTGTCAAAAAATAACATCATCCAAAAAACAAGATCTAATTTATCAAAGATATCATCTGGTGTCCCACAGGGATCGATTCTTGGTCCTCTTTTATTCATATGTTACCTTAAAAATCTTCCAAATTCTCTAAAAGACCCAGGTAGTAAGATAAGTATATGAGTGAAAATTTAAAAACGTACGTTTTCAGGAAACACACTTTGCAAATTTTTTTCCCCTTTTTTCAAAACTTTTATTATTTTTTTGATTTCATTAATATTTGAAGTTTCATAAAATGTCCATGGTAACGCAATATCTTTGGTAGTTTTTTTTTTAAAAGAGCATCTTTAGTGGAAAAACACAAAATCCTGTCACGACCATAACAGACGTTTAAATGAATATTAAAAATGGTTAATATTATTTTTATAACTATGTTTTGCTATAAACTAATTTACTTTTATGACCATTATACATTAAAAAGGTCACTGAGCTTTTAGTATATTTGGTCTTTCTAGAAAAAAATAAAAAACTCAAAAAAATTGAAAAAAAGCCAATAAAATCTTTTTAAGTTTGTATAACTCCGAAAAAACTTACCTGAGACCCGAAAAATCGTTATGTTTGCATAGAGGCGTGCTTCTTTTGTGTATAAAACATTGAAATATGACGATATTTTAATTTTTGAAATTTTTATGACAGAAATCATAAACGTGATGGTCAGGGACAAGCGGTACGGTCGTGAATTTTATAAAACAATCTAAATCTTTCTAAACAATCCTTTAATTATACTATTAGTTATAATAAAAATATGTGTTTCAATTGAACTAAACTGTTCAAATTACAATTATATTAAAGTTATTGTCACGACCAAACACACTATAATCCATAAGGCTGGATAGGTCGTGAAAAAACCCGCGATGGTCGTGAAACTTTGGTCGTGAAATTACGTGTTATTTGGCTCTGTTCTGGCGGTAGCTCTGCACCTCATGTTCGAGGATACAAAGTGGACTTCTAGGTTAATCTAGCAATTGAAATATCTTATAAACAAAAATTAACACCATGTCTACTTCATCGAATGACTATGTACGGTCATGGACACACCAAAATTACAAAAAACACAACCTTTCCTGTATTAATCTTGTAATTCCTCCTTTCAACTCGAAACGACCGGCACTACAATCCTGACGTACACCCCGAACTAGTCTCTAAAACCAACTGACTCCATCAACGCGAGGCTTGCCACTGTCGTGCTCCAAAGTTGAAAAATTTTCCCAAATGGTCGTGACGCCAAATCGAGGGACAGACTTATTATGTCATGGTAGTCAGTTTGCAATGACAATAAAATTATAATATGCTCCTTTTTTGTAAGTTTAATAACCATTGATGACATAAAAATATGGCTTTATATATTGCTGCATGAATAATTAGTCTAAAAACAGCGTGAAAGTTGGAAAATGTACCCTAGGGACACGTCATGGTCGTGAATTTCGAGACTTTAAAAATACGAAAAAAATACCTAGAACCTATTTAAAACCAAATAAATGTGTGTAACATGTTGCCCCCATCCCAAAAAATATTAAAACACATAATAATAAACTACAAATCCAGTAGCTACGAAGTAAAATGCCAGGGACATGAAAACGTACGTTTTTAAATTTTCACTCATATATGCAGATGATATTAATCTTAACACAACTGGGAAATCCCTAACTGATTTAGAAATGTCTGCTAAATCAGAATTAAAAAGTCTGAATCAGTTTTTTAAAAAACCATAATTTAGTACCGGTACTTAATACTAGTAAAACTAATTTCATTCTTTTCCAAACAATACCCCCGCCGCAGCAAACCTGCCGACTAAGCGAATTTCCATTTGTCTGAATTGATTTTCAGTTAAATATATTTTAATAACATTAGGTTTAACGAGTACCTAGGTTTGCTGCTACAAGGAAACTAATAAAGTGTGTTTTTGAGTAAAATATTGATAGCTTAGTACAAAATAAATAAATTTGCCAAGTTTGATCAAAATATATCCATAGACAAGCAAACTACAACATTTGACAATATTCTCCATAAGAATAACATGGGAATTTTAAATTTACAATTTTTTTAATTTTCTCCATTACTAATAATCGAACAAAAATACTTTTATATACGTAATTATTTGTTTTTTTAAGCTCTTTAAAAAGGTCTAAAGAGTAATCGGGAAATTTTGTGTTTTAAGGGTCAAAAGTGAGAAAAGCCAATTTTTACCCCATAAAACCCCCCGTAAAGCCCCGTTCCCATGGTCCGATCGTGCTGGTTCGCGAACTCATTCAAGTTTATCCCGCTTTACACCTTTAAACCAAATTTCATAAAAATCGGACAAAAATTATTCAAGCTATCGCGTTCACGGACGTATAATATATATATATATATATATATATATATATACATATATATATATATATATATATATATATATATATATATATACATATATAAAAATTTTAACGAATGGTGTTTTTGGCCTCTTGGTACATCAAAATGAAAAAGTAAATCGGTCCCGGGTCTAGGTCTTACCGTGCCACCTACAGTAATAGCTACTTCCCTATAGGGAAATTTGCTAAAAAGAGACAAAAATGATAAAAGTATAAAGTTAGATATAGATACAAATTCCATTGCTCAAGTTTAAACCTCAAAACTATTGGGTTTGATAATAGATGAGGATTTTAGCTGGAATAAACATGTCGAGTATTTAATAAAAAAACAATTCTGGTATATTCGTCCTAAGAACAATGTCATATCTCTGTGAAGGATCAGACCTTAAAATGATATATCATGCTCATATTGAATCACATATTAACTATGGAATTAGTATTTATGGTGGGACAAAGAAAAAGAATTTAAAAAAGATTTTGAAAATACAAAAAAAGCTATCAGGATAATACATAAATTAAAATATAACCAGTCCGTCAAATCTTATTTTAAAGGAATGGGCATTTTTACAGTTCACGCCTAATATATTTTTGAAACAATTAAATATTTTTTAAATATTGCTGGGACACAAGAATTGCCTGCGCATAATTATAATACAAGGGGTGAAAATTATTTAGCTAAAGAAAAACCAAGACTTGAACTTTTTGAAAATAAACCTTCTTATATTGGAAACTATTTTTTTAGAAAACTTCCTAGCTTTTTAAAAAAAGAAAAAGACAAATCTAAATTTATGAAAAAACTGAAGGCATTCTTACTTGACCTTGCACCTTACAAAATAGAAGATTATAGTAATTTCAATTTAAAATAATGTAGCCTATAGTATTTTGTTTAAATGTTTCTTATTGCTAATTTAGGCAGTAAGTAACAATAGACACTATTCATTTACGAAAATTTGTACAGTGTGAATAAAGACATCTTGAAAACGGAGTATTGGAACATCGGTATCGGAAAAGTAGTTCCTACAGAATTAGGAGTTTATTTAAGAAATACATTTTTGTTTTAAGTTCAATGGTCATGAATAATTATCTAAGTACATGTTTTTTCGGGTAAAATTACAATATAAAATATAGGTTACGGTCGAGATTTTTAAAAACTTCCCTTATTAAATTGACTTAATAGGTTAGGCCTACTCCGCTGAACGCCAGCCACAATAGCCAGCATAAGTCAAACTGTGTTTAAATGTGTTTACATTTTTGTTTAAATAAATAACACCTTTGTAATTATATATTCGCCTAGGCTAGCCTATTTTATATTTATTCATTTGCCTTTTGGCTGTACTTTCATAAGCGGCACAAATGAAGGTAGGCCTATGCTATCGGTTATGTTAGGTTGGGTTATTGATAAATTACTAGCGCTTTCATTTGTGCCGCTTATGAAAGTGCAACCTGCTTTTTCAAGCTTTCGTTCTGTGTTCATTGTCCAGTTTATTTTTCTGATACTGAGATGGTATCGATACTACACTTCCGATACCATATCGACACCAAGTATCGTATCGAAAGCGGTATCGGAACGTCCCTACTGCTGAGAGCACTGCTGGAAGGAGGGTAGCGTCGGTTGAAGGGGTGGGGGTGGAATGTTAAAAATAACTCACCCTACGTCAAATTTACGTGCGATACCCATCTATGGTTAACTAACTTAAGTTTAGTTAAGTTACCCTACTGTATAAAGGGTAGCTACAGTTCCGCACAGAACCTGCAATAGGTGTAGTTATTGGACTAAAAACCAATTTGATTCAGTTTGATAACTTATTATACCATGATATCAGTTAACTTAAATAAAAAGCAATACCTAATAGGCCTACAGTTTTTTGTTTATGTTAACCTTAGTTTTGTCTCGTGATGGAAAATGGCCTCTGGGTCGTATAAATCAACTAATATAGCCTAGATTTAGATTACGTGTTTGTTGTCAAAACGATCCTTAGTTGAGCAGAGCAAGCGAAGCTCTTATACGTCGACTCTTATACATTTCGTAATATGCAAACTCCTCCTAGACGGCTGAATCAATCGTTTTCAAATTTTGCATGGTGATAAAGACCATATCGGTGAGTGCCAACATCTATATGGCGTTAAAAAAGACTCTCAGGAATCCGCCCCACTAGGTCTCAAAGTTTCAATGTAATCCTTATGGAAGCAGTATTTGACACGTAAACAAAGACATATGATCAGCTGTTGACTTTTGAATGCAGTAGATAAAGAAATAGCTGATAGCATTATTCCACAGATATTAGAACAGAAACGGTATGGATCATAAATATAATCAAATGACGACACTAGGTGTAGATCCGTGACGTAGGAAGTGGTTAAGGAAGTAGTAAAGGTGAGCAGTCTAGAGTGTGGAAAGTGTTTGTTTATGACGATTAGATTTAGGTATCTGCATTCCTAAAATTCTATTGGAAGGGAGAAAAACGGGTCCGCGACGTAGGAGGTGGTGAAGAAAGTAGTCAAGGCAAGCAGTCCGGACTGTGGGAACTGTTTGTGACAATTAGATTAAGGTATCTACAATCCTAAAATGCTATGGGAAGGGAGGAAAACAGGTCCGCGATGTAGGAAGTGGTGAAGGAAGTAGTCAAGGCGAGCAGTCCGGACTGTGGGAACTGTTTATGACGATTAGATTTAGGTATCTGCGTTCCTAATGTTCTATGGGAAATGAGGAAAACGGGTCCGCGACGTAGGAAGTAGTCAAGGCGAGCTGTCCGGAGTGTGGGAACTGTTTATAACGATTGGATTAAGGTATCTACAATCCTAAAATGCTATGGGAAGAAAGGAAACAGGTCCGCGACGTAGGAAGTGGTGAAGGAAGTAGTAAAGGCAAGCATTCCGGATTGTGGGAACTGTTTATGACGATTAGATTTAGGTATCTGCAATCCTAAAGTTCTATGTGAAAGGAGGAAAACGGGTCTGCGACATAGGAAGTGGTGAAGGAAGTAGTCAAGGCGAGCTGTCCGGAGTGTGGAAACTGTTTATGACGATTAGATTAAGGTATTTACAATCCTAAAATGCTATGGGAAGGAAGGAAACAGGTTCGCGACGTAGGAAGTGGTGAAGGAAGTAGTTCAAGACAAGCAGTCCGGACCGTGGGAACTGTTTATGACGATTAGATTTAGGTATCTGCTCCGTTCCCAAAGTTCTATGGGAAGGGAGGAAAACGGAGCCACGACGTAGGAAGTGGTGAAGGAAGTAGTCAAGGCGAGCTGTCTGGAGTGTGGAAACAGTTTATGACGATTAGATTAAGGTATCTACAATCCTAAAATGCTATGGAAAGTGATGAAAACAGGTCCACGATGTAGGAAGTGAATTAGGAAGCAGTAAAGTATGAGCACAGTGTGAGAACCGTCTGTGGCAGTTAGATTAATGTATCTTCAATCCTAAAATACTATGAGAAGGGAAGGAAACAGGTCTATGACGTAGGAAATGGTGAAGGAAGTAGTAAGGCTTGCAGTGCAGAGTGTAGGGACTGTCTTTGGCAATTACATTAATGTATTTGCAATCCTAAAATGCTATGGGAAGAGAGGGAAACAGGCCCACGACGTAGGGGGTGGTGAAGGAAGTAGAAAAGGTGAGCAGTGTTGAGTGTGGGAATGGATTAATGGATCTGCAATGCTAAAATGCTATGGGAAGAGACTGTAGACTTTAGGTTAAAATGATTACGAAGCAAGCATCGATACATATTTTGATACATGCAATCGTTTACAATAGAAATTTACAACTGAGTTGACAACAGCTGATTTTTATTCCATAGAGGCTAAAAACGATTTTTACTCCCTAAAGAGTAAAAATGCTACTTTGGACCCGCAACGCATGCATTAAAAACTAGGCCTACTGAACCTTTGATGACTCCGCTCAATTTTGTGGATGCCTCTGCGAATGCCACCTAGTTAGTACCAATGTAACAATCCCGTTTTCATATAACAGTTCACTTTAGTTGAAACAAAAGTGTTTGTAGTCATTGTTAGCACTAAGTTTGTGACTACAGCTGTTTTGTGCTTGTAGAGACATCTTCAGGTCAAAAATATCTTATTTAAGTTATTTATTTATCTCTACATACAAACAGCAGACCTATAAAAAAAATAACAAAATAGCTACCTAGGGCCTATACTAACAACAAATAAATAATAATGTAACAATCAATTGATAGTCCTAACAAGAGAAAAATTAACAAATAAAAATTGTGAAACTCAACAAATTATAAATAAGTTAGGTAGCATAAAACTCACAACAAAAGTAAATAATGGTGACTCAATAGGCTACATCGGAAAAAGATTAGGCTTAAGCCTATTGATAGGCTGTTGCTCACCAAGGACAGTTAGAAACTTTCTTCGAGCCAGTTTGAAGCCGCTGAAGAAAAGTCCAGTCCTCATCGCTTGACTCTGTTTCCCAGGCGAATAATCCTAGTGAGTGGATTGTTGGCGTCAAAAGATGTTGAACTCTCAGAAGAACATATAGATTGTCAACTACTAAAGTGTAGCGTTGACAGGGTTTCTGGTAATGATAAGAAAACCCATTCTTTATCTTAGTCTAGGCCTTTAATCTATAAACATGTGTTTAAAAACAGATTTAGAAGTAGCCCTATCTCCTAAGCTCTCAAATAATTGTCACTATCCCTGTTATTGTTGAAAATGTCTATTGTGCCTTTTGAAATATCTGAATTACCAAATTAATGTCAACAATCAAGTTTTGTTCTTCTTTCAGACTGGCTTAGTGTATATTTTCAACTTGATCGTAGGCACAGGTGCTCTGACATTACCAGCAGCATTTTATCGCTCTGGATGGGCTTTGGGCTCAATACTTATGTGCATTTTATCTTTTGTTAGGTAAGTATAAAGTTATTTTGTTCATTATAGCCTACTTTCAATTTAAAACCCTAACATTTTTCAAAACTCATTTATAGCCTATGTTGCCTCTTTTAATGCAGATGATGTGGCCAGTCATCTTTTCATCACTAGGCCTACATAATATTCCTCAAAATGATTTAGGCTAGTTTAATCTTTAAAAAAGTAAATACATTTTTTTAAGGTAAAATATTTCAATAGACGTTCATGTAACCCTCTGCAACAGAGTCCCGCTGATACGAAGCATATTAACCTAAATATTGCATCAAAACCAAACTGTTTTGGGAAAAGTATAGTTTATTTAAATAAAAACTAGTTAAAAACAAAACGATTAGCTCTTAATTACTAACCAGAGTGTCTAGCCACTCGGTTAACAGAGAAAACCGAATCAGTTGTGAATTTTGATGATGGAGAAATGTTGGTTGTCATGATTACAGCAGAACTATATTATGTTACCCTTAGGGAATAATCAACCCACGGCACAGGGTGGATTTTGATATAGAATACAAGTTGAAGCTAAATCCAATTAACACAGTTTTATTTTTTTTACCATCATTGACTGGACTTTAATAGGCTAAGATGTTTGTGGAAATAACCGACCGCAGGGGAAATCGCCATAGTCTTCAAATCAACTAAAGCGAACCTCCGGCACGTTGATGTAGGCCTAGCCTATATATAATTATTTACCACAGGCAAGATGATCAAAACTACCTAAGTGGTAAAGTAAACTACTGGTACCTAATTTCGAATCGAATTAGCTTTTTGTACTACCATCAAAAAGTCACAAGGCCAAAGCTTGAACATAGGTGAGATGTATTTAAATAAACTAGTATTTACTTTCATACAATAATTATTATAAGTTGCTTTAGCAGAGTTCAAACTCCGGAAGGAATAAAATAATATAATGTATACCTATAACAACTAAAGAGAATGTTCCCACAAAAAAAAAAAATAATAATTGTGTGCAGGTAAATTACTCATAGATAATTTTGGTTGTCATAGTTTGTTTGGCTTGGTATTTCAATAATATATTTTACATCTGGGTGTTTAACTTAAGGGCTTCTGCCCATACGAACCACAGTTGACTTTGGTATTTCAATAATATATTTTACATCTGGGTGTTTAACTTACTTTTTAGCTATGTCACTGCAACATTCGTAGTCGAAGCCATGGCTACCAGCAATGCTTTGCTCAATTTTTCTAAGGCTAAACAACTCAGAAGGATTGGTCATTATTTAGATATGGTGAGTAGCTTTCTTTTATGATTTTAAGTTTCAAACCTATTATCCTTGTATGCAGGTTTATTTTACAACGTTATCCAGAAGTTTTTTTTTTTTAGACTAATGAATTTAACATGTTTGCTACTACAATAGTACAACATTTTTCATTCACATGGACCAGCGACACACATATGCGACGGCCGGTTTCCACTCATAGACTGTCGCATATTTGCGTCGGGGTTCTAATGTTATTAAAATGCTCATCTTTGTAACGGTCTATTAGAAGGCACTGAATTCCCTGCAGTGGTCTATAGAGATGTCTGACGCACAACTACGTCGCTTGGTCTGTGGATATGATGATTGGTGACGTCATAATGATAGTTAAAAAAACTGGTCTTTACTTTTCTGCATCACTATCGTATGTATGCTGCATTATCCTATGTAGCTTTTATATTCGCTCAGTTATAAACTGTTCTTGAATAATCTGTTTTGTTTACTTACTTTACCCTCAAAACACAAACAAAAATGAACTGTCGCATGTATGCGACGTTTGGTCCATTTCAAGAAAACTATGATAATTTTCACTACCTATTGTCTTCGCTGTAGACCGGGCATCGCAAATATGCGACATTACAAAATGTTATAAAAACTACAAAAGAAAACAAGAATGAATTATTTACAAACACGATTGTAGCGTATTACAATGTAAATTATCACTGTTTTACAGGTTTTCGCCCGTGGTCTGTGTGTACTGTTAACCAAGTGACAGCCGGTCTATGCGTAAGGTTCAAATTTATACCTCGGTCTGTGGCAATGACCACGGCGTTGCATATATGCGACGCTCAGTAGCGAACGTGTTAAAAACCTACTTTTTTAAATGTTGGTAAAAAATACATACATATTTCACAGTTAATTACCTACTTCAAATAAATTACCTACTTCAAATAAATTACGAATTAAATGTGGAATTATAACTAGCACCAGCACATACTTCACAACCTACCAATCTTAGAAATATTTAACATCAAGCTTTGTCATTTATTTTAGGGCAAAATATAGCAGGTCTACACACTTTGTGAGTCTTTTGTGGGGAGATATTGCTTTTCTCATAACAGTGTCATGTTTCCCAATAAGCGGTGAAACACAGTTGAGGAGCTCAACATAGGTCTTCTCGTTCATTTGGTTCATTTTGCAAATACATTCAACAAATTTACATGAGAGAAATTCCTTCTTTTTAGCAACCATTCACAGCTCACTGTCTTCTTGGTTTTTACGACTGTTTCATCTTTCTTGCTAAGGCCCTGTACACATGAGGGCGGCTGCCGCCGCGGTTGCCATTGCGCGGGAACCGCGGCGGTTGAAAGTACAAAGGAGCAAATGGGACCGTTCACATGCAACCGCCCACTTCCAATCAACCGCAACAAACCGCGGCGGTCGTAGATTTCCCTTCGACCGCCGCAGCTCCCGTGCGGTTGAAGTTACTAGAGTTGGCATGAGAGCGTACACATGAGGGCGGTAGCCGCCGCGGTTGACTGCAGTTGCTACTATATAGGATCACAGACATCTGCGCGCTTGCCTTGTGGACATCGCTCTCTCTTTCTGTGTTGGTGAAGTGTGTAGCTGTGGCTGGAGTTGATGTAGTGCTCGTAGTGTAAGTTTACAATGGCCATGTGTGCTGCTGTGGAACCAGAAAACTTTGACACTGAACTGTTCATTAAAGTAGTACAAAAAGAAGATACGTTTAGGACATAAACTAAAAAAGATTGCGTGGCAAGTTAGTTAGTTGAGTATTGAGTTAGTTGAGTTTTTTGTTGAAAAGAATTGTCAAGCGTTACGCTTTTAAAAGAAATTAATTGGGTAAATACAGTACTGGCTGTTGAGCGACGGTCAATTCACACCGCAACCGCAGCGTAAACCTCGACTCCAACCGCTGCCATGTGTACAGGGCCTAAGCAACTGATGTGCAGCTACAGTAAGACTACTTCCTCTATGACAAACTATTTTCTTGAGTTGATAGCTGTCAACTGCAGAATACTGACAATTTGACAAGAAATGTTACAATTGATCATAGCGTATGGAATGGCCTACCATCACTAGATTTATCAAAACAATAAATTAGTCAATCAGATTATTGCATAATAATAGATAATTGCATGTTCTATCCGAAAACATGATAAAATATAGGGTGTTCCATTAAAAATTTAAAAGTTAACCGCCATATTGGAAAATGGCCATTTACAAAAATTGTATTTAATTATTTTTGAACCTCTTTAAAAACAAGGGAATGTTCCCCATTTAAAGTTCACTGTAAAATCACAGCAGTGTTACTGAGATCCCAATGGTGGCACACTTAAAAAAAACACCCTGTATAACTAAACGAGAATACATTTGTGACAGTTTAAGCCCAACAGCAAGTATGTAGCGTAAATAACGGCCAAAATACAGACCATCAAAATAAATAAATTTTCCCAAGATGTTTAACAATTGTGGTTTTTTCAATATTTCCACAATATAATTGTTTGAAGCAAACACCGTATTGATTTAGAGAGTATGCCAGTTTGTTTGCTATTAATACAAAATAAATGGAAGTATGAATAAAAATACCCCCACCTCAGCAAACCTGCATACTAAGCAAATTTCCATTTGCTTGATTTGATTTTCACAAACTTATTTAAATAACATTAGGTTTGACTAGTACCTAGGTTTGCTGCTACAGAGAGGGCAATAAGTATATCTCTTAATAAAATAATAATAGTATGATAAGAAACAAATAAATTTACCCAATTTTATAAAAAATGTATTTATAAATAAGGAAAACATCAATCATTAAAAATCTTCGCTACTAGAATAACATGGGATTTTTTTTTGCATTTTTTAATTTTCTCCGTAACCAATAACTGTAAAAAACATTTTTATGTACTAAATTATTTGTTTTTAATCTCTACAAAATGTTTTAATCATACAATTGTGAGGGTTAAAAATGAAGAAAAAAACTACTGTTACCGACAAAATACCTATAAATCAACCATTCCCATGGCCTTATCATACCGATCATGCTTCGCGGACTCGTTTTAATAAATAAATGTTCGTTTACATGTTTGTACCAAATTCCACTAAGTCGGATGATTTTTGCTCGAGTTATTTTCGTGCTAACGGACATAAATACAGGGTCTCCAATAAACTCACCTAGTTTGAAAATTCATTTATTTATTGTATTAGATACAAATTTTAACGACTGATTCCATAGAGGTGGCTATGCTGATACATTAAATGAAAGGTAATAAAATATAAAAAAAAATAACACTATCAAACCTCAATATGCGAACCATTTGTAATCCTGCAGACATGCAAGCTATTTTTACAAATTTTTATCATTACTATTTTATTTTTTATATTATAATTTATTACCAAATCTACGCTCAAGGTCAAATAGGTGTACGCAACTTATTGCCAACGTACGAAACTAAAACTTTGAAGTATACTCTACACAGCACGAAAAGATCGTGAGGTGTTTTTAAAACTAGGGAGTCTTTTTCGGACACCCGGTATATATACATATATATTTATATATTATAACAATTTGAACCAACAGTATTTTTGGCATCTAGGAATACCAAAATGAAAAAGTAAATCGGTCCGGGGTCTAGGTCTTACCATGATACCTAAGGTAATGGCGTATTCCCTTTAAGGGAAATATGCTAATAATCAGCACATCATTTATATTGAATGGTGTGTGTTGAGGAAACTAATAATCTTTTCATCAATTTCGTTGTCTTGTGCGAGAATTAATGGCGCACTTCAACATGTTGCTCACTAGTCACTGACGTCATTTTTTATAATACTTCTCAACTTCCTACAGATTTGATGAGGACGGATCATACCAAGCGCCCATCGAGTTACAACATTTTGTCTGTTATCTCTCGTCCTCGAGTCAATCCACCAGAGCTTTTCATTGTCTTTAAGATGTTTGATGGCCTAAACAGACCAAATTCCAGACCAGTACTTGTAGTGAAATTTCCATTATTTATGAATTTTTTGTGTTCTTCTATATCAATCCTGTATTTCAATTCATATTCAGCATGTCCTGTATAGATGGGCGCACTTGACATGGAAAAATGACCCGCTGCATGGAAGATCTGTAGAGTGATTGTAATTGGAAGATCCCATTTGCCTGATCTTTCAGCCTGAATAAACTGTTAACTATGTTAAACTGTTTTATTTTTTTTTCATGTGATAGTACTGTACCCAAAGCTTAGCTTAAATGTTTATGTATAAACTTTTGACAGCTTTGGGAAGAGTAGTTTTGCCGTTAAAGGTATATTATGAAGGTATGTTTTTCGGCATGTAAACCTAGATTTATTAAAACAAGTTCGCGAAGCATGATCAGGCCATGGAAACGGTTGCTTTATGGGGTTTTTTTATTAAGAACAGTTTTTTCGTATTTTTGACCCTCAAAAGATACAATTTTTACAACGTATATTTAAACCATTTTGTAGAGCTTAAAACCTAATAATTTAGTACATCAAAATGTGTTTTTAAAGTTATTGGTTACGGAGAAAATTAAAAAATGCAAAATAAAAACGCCCATGTTATTCTAATAGTGAAGATTTTTAATTATTGTTTTTTCCTTATTTATAGATACATTTTTAAAATATTGGGTAAATTTATTTGTTTCTTATCGTACTATTATTATTTTATAAAAAAATATATAGGCTACTATATTATCCTCCCTGTAACAGCAAACCTAGGTACTAGTTAAACCTAATGTTATTTAAAAAAGTTTGTGAAAATCAAATCCGGCAAATGGAAATTCGCTTAGTATGCAGGTTTGCTGAGGTGGGGGTATTTTTATTCATACTTCCATTTATTTTATATTAATAGCAAATAAACTGGCATACTCTCTAAATCAATACGGTGTTTGCTTCAAACAACTATATTGTGGAAATATTGAAAAAACCACAATTGTTAAACATCTTTGGAAAATTTATTTTTTTGATGGTCTGTATTTTGGCCGTTATTTGCGCTACATACTTGCTGTTGGGCTTAAACTATCACAAAATGTATCCCCGTTTAATTATATAAAGTAATACTTTCAGTAAAATCAACTGTTCGCGAGATAGAGCGAAAACCTACAGGAACAATGTTAAAAAAATTGTACTTTCAGTTTCATTTTTCTACGCAATAAGATGGCAGTTCTTACTGCAGTAAATACGTTTTAGGACAGAAATAAACTATTCACAACATTTGAAGAAAATCGTCAAAACCGTTTTGAGATCGTCGTGCAAGCATACAAGCAAACATTGCTCATAATAGAGTCTAGGATAGATGATAGAAATTGTAAATATGCAAGCCTATGATTTTTAACACCTCAAACAAATTAAACACCACGTGCATTGCTTGGTCGTTATTTATGATACTGGTACTTATTTATGATATAAGTTTTCTGTACATCTTACTGACATAAATGTTTCAACTGCTTGCCTTAATTTTCTACTGCGAAGCCCAAAATATTTCACTGTAATTTAATTGTAGGCTCATCAGATTTCTGGATATACAACAGAGAGTGAAGAGGAAAGCTACAGATCACCTTCTGAAGAATCTCCGCTCACTGCACCTGGTACAGTATGCTGTAAACCCTAAAATAAATTATCAAAACTAAGTATTTTAGGAATAGAACCCCTATCCTACATATTCAGGCTGATATTAACTGGCAGCAATCTGAAAACTCTTGCATTAAAAATGCTTTAACACGTGAGACATAGCTAGCTTTATATTTTTACAAATTTTATTTTTTCCTTTTAACCTCAGTGAAAAAATTGCCTTGGAAAAAACATTTAAATAAACAAAATTAAAATGAACAACTTTCTTTGTAATCAGCCATTTCACTCTATACAGGGGCACTACTAAATGCACTAATTGTAACTGCTTTTTCTACTCGTCAAAAGGAATAAAAAATGTATATAACCCTGGTCTGACCTTTACGTTTAGCTGTTATGGCGTAATTTTTAAAAATAACATGACTTTTTTACTGTTTATTTGACGTTATAAGCCAAACCCACGTATCCGTGGCGTAGCCAGGTTTGGAGCCCCTTGGAGCGAAAATTGCTTAACCGTCCCCAATCCCGAACATCAAACATCACCATAAACATAAAGTAATTTTATTTCCCTCTTAACGGTCTTTGCGGATGTTTAGTTGATAAGCACTCAAAACACAATGTAGGCTATGTAATTTTTCAATTGACAATAAATTACAAATTACATAATACTATTATTGAGCAGAGCGAGTGAATCGAGGGAAGCTCTTTGAGATCTTCTAATATTATTCAATCTTCAAAACAAATTTAACCGGATTTCAGCTTTCCCGGCTAATGTTGACTATGAGTATTTACCAATACTAAGGCCTGTGCAGGTATTTTCCACAAGAACTTTGGACTGCCACCATTTTGTAACTAATGAACCTTTTGAGACGCGGTTTCCGGCAATGAACTCCACTTGACCAGACCTTTAAAATGATGTGCATATCAACAACCTATACTTACATTAAAGATTATGTACCTACTCCTCATTTGCCGTCCCCTGGTGAAGGTCAAAAAATGGTAATGCTTGCAAAAAGTAGTTTTCATACATATAAGTTGATATGAAAAGTTTGAATTTTCTAATGGATTTAGTTGAAAATATATTAAGCCGTTTCCAGACTTTTTTGTCATCCTATATATATATGTATATATATATATATAATATATATATATACTCGCCTTTGGCTCCAGACCCCCTTTTTTGGTAGGGGGAAAGTACAAATGAGCCACGGGGGACAGGACGCAAGACCTACATTCGAGCCAAATTTCAGATCTTTAGCTAATCTAGAAGTGGGTAAACTTGATTTAGACCGGTGCACCTGTAGGAATAACAATGGGGGGGGATTCTATATTTCACGGGGGGGGGGGGGGGCTATATTTGTAAAATGTCACTTTTCGAAAAGGGCGCAAGACCTACAATCATGCCAAATGTCTTTTAATATCAGCTGTTTAATTATATTATTATGTTGTTCTAATGTGTTCACAGTTTGAAGTGTTAATGTTTTAATATCTTTCATTTTTACATCAATTATTAATAAAGTATTTTATGTATTTTATTCCCTCGTTTCATCAGGTTACGGGCCCAGAAGACGTTTTTGATATAATTCATTTTGAATATGATTGTATAAAACTACATTAAAATGAAGAATTCAGGACTGAATGTGTTTGGTAAGATTTCTAGGCTTATGAACAATATTTTGTTATCTAATTTCTTGCACTGAATTTTTATGTTGTTTGACCTAAAATGGAAACTACATAAGTAAACACTAATACAACTCATACTATTACACCTACCTCAAGTAATACCGGATTGTCTAGTATGACAAATATTATAATGGGAGGAAATTGTAATGTTGAACGTCTAGAGGGTGTTTCAAATTATAACAATTGGAAGTTTTCAATGAAAATGGCCTTAATATTTGATGGACTTTGGGATTGTGTATCTAATGATACTGAAATTAAAGATAAAAACAGGGATCAAAAGGCTCTCGCAAAAATTTGTTTAAATGTTTTGCCTACTTGTTATCCTTACGTTAGGGCAGCTAACACTGCTAAAGAAGCTTGGGATGATCTCCAAAATGCTTTTGAAAACAAAAGTTTGGTTAGAAGACTTAGTCTTTTAAGACATTTACTTAGAACTAAATTGGAAGATTTTAGCACAATGGCAGACTATGTAAATGGAACTTTGTCCTTAGTTCAACAGTTAGCAGACATAAATCACATTGTTGGTGATTAAGAAGTTGCAATGCTACTTCTGGGTGGTTTACCTTCAGAATATGAACCGCTTATTATGGGTATTGAAGTTACTCAAACAACTGTCTCAAGTGAGTTTGTTAAAACTCGTCTCTTACAAGAAGATTTTAGGAGGTCTGAAAATACTTCAACTGGAAGTGAATCGGCTTTGGCAACTAAACATTCTTATGCCAAGAAAATTGAGAAGTTGAAAGATTCAAAAGGTAAGTTTAGACCACAGAAGGAAATTATTTGTCATCATTGTAACCAACCTGGACATATTAAGCCTAACTGTCCTAATCTTGGCAATAACTCTCAGCACAGATCTAAGGCAAATTATGCTGGGAAACACAAAGAAAATGACAATGTGTTGCTTACAACTGTTTTCCATACTGAAAATATAAAATCTTATGAATCTAAAGTTGATCATAATGATTGGGTAATTTCAGGTTGTACAACTCATATGAGTAATCAAATGGTGAAAAATGGTAAGTTAGAAAATAAGGAAGTTTTGGTGGCCAATAATGCAAAACTTACAAGTAATTGTGTTGGTGATATTGAACTTTATATAGAAAATTCTAATAAAGTTACTGTTATATAAGGATGTTTTATACATACCACAACTTGTTACTAATTTGTTGTCGGTAAATAAAAGAACAGAAAAAGGTAAAATAGTAGTTTTTGACAAAGATTCGTGCAGAATTTATTCAGAAAATGACTGTCGAATAGAGGGAAATAGTGACATTTCTGCTGTGAATGACGGTGGTGTATATAAACTAAACTTCATTGAGCCAACAGAGTTGAATGGTCACTCTGAATTCAAAGAAGATAATTCATCAGCTGCTCTAACAGTTGCTACCAAAGGTACGTGGCACCGTAGATTAGGCCATCTAAGTCATAAAGGAATGGATTTACTAAGAAATGGTTTAGTTAATGGAGTAAATTATTCAAAATCAGAAAAGGAGAATACTTGTACCGCATGTATTGAAGCGGATCACAAAGCGCAAAGTAGTGGTTATAATGATAACAAGAAAATCTTTTCCTAAAGGTCAAAGTATCAGAGCTACTTCATTACTTGAGCTAATTCATTCAGACTTATGTGGACCAATGTCAGTTAAAAGTTGGGGTGGATCTCTTTATCTTTTAACATTCACCGATGATCTCTCAAGAAAAACTTTTGGCTATTCACTTAAACACAAAAATGAAGTTTTAAGTAAGTTCAAAGACTTCAAAATGGATGTTGAAAATCAAACTGTCTTAAAAATTAAGCGCTTGAGAACTGATAATGGCAAGGGTGAGTATGTTAACAAACAATTTTCAGATTTTCTACATTTAAATGGTATTATTCATGAGACCACTATACCCCACACTCCAGAGCAAAATGGTGTAAGTGAACGTGTTAACCGAACACTAGTTGAAAAGACAAGATGTTTACTTCAAGATTCAGGTTTAGGAAAACGATATTGGGGAGAAGCTATAAACACAGCTATCTATTTGAAGAATCGTAGTCCTACAGCAGCTTTAAAGGATGTAACACCAGAGAAAGTTTGGACTGGTTCAAAGGTTGATCTAAGTCACTTACGGGTTTTTGGCTGTAAAGCTTATGTTCATATTCCCAAATGTTACAGAAAGAAACTTGACACAAAAGCAAAGCCTTGTATTATGGTTGGATATTGTGAACATTCCAAAGGCTACAGACTAATTGATCCTAAGAAACCTTATTCTATTATAAAAGCACGTGATGTTGTTTTTGTAGAAGACCAATGTCATACCTCTAATGTGAATGATCATGATGACCTGAAAAATGAAAGTCAACAAGTTGAATATACTGTTATTAACAGTAGCACAACTGAACTTGTGGAGGAACCAAACAATGATATAACATCTGTTGACAACAAAGAAAATCTTGTTCATTCTAACAGTGAAAGTGAACAGGAAGTTTCAAAAAATGAAAATTCTTATCTAGAACAGCAAGTTTTGGAAGAAGGAAATTCTTTGATTGAAGATAAAAGACCTGAACGTGATCGCAGAAAACCATTATGGATGAACGACTTCAAATCAAATCAAATCAAATCAAATCAAACTTTATTGTCACAAAACGTTTATACATAGCTTAGCTACAAAACAGGTGACATTGTCAAAATTATAATAAATACATTGTTGATCATCTTACATTCTATAGTTAAAAAATTTAATACAATGAAGATAAAAATACTGACTTTGATTTAAAAATAGTTTACAACAAATACTCACTAATATGGTAGTAGTTTTTTTCTATTAAAAATTTTGATAGATTCTTTTTAAATGACATTGTATTGGCTATATTTTTTAAACCTAGTGGTAACTTATTGTACAGTTTTTTCCCCATGTATGTTGGTGTCTTTTCAATGAGACGCAGACGATGGATCGGTAATTGAAAATTATTTTTAAACCTTGTGTTGTATCTATGGTCAAAATTATCATTTAATAAATTTTCATAGTTTGATTGTACCATTACTAAGGTTTTGAATATGTATAAATTTGGAACAGTTAAGATATTTAATTCCCTGAACAGCAATTTACAAGATTTCCTAAAATATGAGAAAGTCATTATTCTTAAAAACCTTTTCTGTACTTTAAAAACTTTAGCTGAATCACATGATAATCCCCAGAACTCAATCCCATAGTTAATAATTGAAAAAAAGAAAGCATAGTAGATATCAATTCTAGTTTTGAGGTCAATATAATTACGTAGTACTAGCATTTGATAACAGGCTGAATTTAATTTACTAATAATATTATCAATACAATTACTCCAAGAAAAATTAAT